AAGGGGACTGGAACCCGATCTTGCTCGTATCAATACTCTGACGGACAGAGTAACGTTATGTTCAAAATCTGACTTAGAGACTGCCCCCGATCGTCGAAAATCCTGCCCTTTTATACACCGAAAACTAAGATTTTTGGTGGTGGGGAACGCTAGATTTCCGTGGGAATGGAATGTGAGCTCATCCCTTTGCTTGGCGACTATCGGGGGGGTGCGTGTTAGACTAAACATTCGGCGCCGTACGTTTCGGGTAGAACGCGTACGTAACAATATTATGAAATTTCTTTTTTCTCTATAAAGAAAATTTTAATCTCTCTCTTTTAATCTCTTCAAGACAATGATCTATAGGAAATTAATTGTTACAAATGTATTTAGATGTTTTATACAAATAATTAACGTGTAACTGCTATTTAACGACCGGAAGTGTTGATTAATCAAAAAATGTTCCGCTAGCATCGTGATCCTGATAAAGTGCGTATAAAGCCTTACATTATAATTTATAAAAATTACATTGTATTCTTAAAATGCATTTGAATAATGAACTGTTAAGTATTTGTATAATTTACAATGTCATGTAATAAATGTGTATACAATTTTTTACAATTATTCTTCACTTTACATAGCTGTATGTATACGGAACTATTCAGCAAAAAACTTAAAACAAACAAGCTAATGATTTTACGACGAAGAATGAAATGAATCCGTGCAAATAAAATTATTTGATATTTCAGGAAAACGGAATCTTATTAAGGGTTTAAACGGGTTTATTTTAAACAAGAACAAGCGCCGGCCAACCGAACTGGGATAAAGTGTTCAAACAGCTTCAGGACCAAAAAAAAGGCAAAGTGACGGTCTTGTATTGTGGTCTACCGTAACTAGCAAAATTTTTGCGTTATAAATGTGATCAGTTCGGTTTCAACTTCAGGAAAGAATGTTTCTGAATTTAATAAGAAAAGAAATTGTACCGTCATCATGTTCTATGCATTCATCCGTTATTATTTGACACAAATTAAGAGGAGCGACAGGTATGGTAATTAAATTTCCCATTATACGGTGATTGATGTTAACTTTTCCTTGCATAGAACTGGGATGATTTCTTTAATAGTGTCATCAGAATGTAAGAATTTTACTTCATGTTATTCATAATCCTCGCCGTTTCATGCATCAACCAAATTGTTATTAATATAAGAAGAAAATCCATTTGTCGTTCTGTCATAACGGAAAATTTATCGAAATCCTATTCAGAAACTTAATGACAGTTAACAAATTACTTTTGCATATTCATATTTGTTATTAATCATTCGACTGATTTCAGATGTGTAGTAACTTCGCATAGTATCTACAGAGCCTGAACTTCCTAACTATTCAGATCAGATAAAGTATACAAGATTTCTTTTTCTTGTAAATAATTTCATTCAGAAGCAAATAATATTTTGTTTATGCCTGTATTTTGCGAATTACTTTCTAAACTTACCCAATATTACCCAACTTATCCAATATTTACGATCTTAAAAATTGTCCTGTGATTCTGGTCTCCTACTTTTTAATGCGTATTAAAGAATATTTATTTCGTGAAATGTTTTATTCGATACTAAAATTTAAAAATGGCAAAGAAAATACATTATGGTAAGTATTAAATTCGTTCCAATATCTGTTAAAAAATTAGTAACAGAAAAAGTTAAAAACATGCAAAAATATTAGATCGTGAAATAAATTGAAAAGTATTATAGAAAAAATGTATAAAAACTTCAACTAACTTGATTGGAATTAAAATAAACAAAAGGTCAAGGTTTCAAACCATACAATATATTTAAAAATAAATCAAGAGTAAGTACTTACTTATACAATTAATACAAATTACCAATGAAAGTAAAAAACCCTTTTTTTGTTATTATTAAATATTAAAAGAACTACTTACCACGCATAGCAAATGATTTATTATAGTTCACTATATAGAGTATATTTCAACGTAAAGGATTTTAGTTTTACAAATTATGTATTCTACGTGTTATTTTGATATCTCTCTTACAACTCTGTTGCTAGCAATTATAAACTAGCAAGAAGCATTACAAAAATAATACTGAGAAAAGTAGTACTGTAAATCTATTTAATATTTATCCGAAAATAAAGTGCAACTTTTTCAGTTAAAAACTTGTGTGTAAATCCTGTTGAAAATACATTTCAAATATAATTAAGTTATTATGTTTACTATATAATGTACTGTTAGAAACCTATGAGTATTTAGAGAATACATGGTTTTATTTGAACTAAGGTAGTGTATTTTCATATGTGTATTATAACTAACAGATTAATTTAAAGGACTACCAATAATATGTTCTTGAAAAAGCTCTCAGAATAAGTGCTAGTCTCTTCTGCTGGGTTTTTCAGATATACATATGCATATTACATATACTGTGAGTATTTGACAGGGAGATGATGACCTTACGCCCTTAGCCCCTTAGCCACAGCGTGAATACCTCGGTCTTGCAAATTTAGACTTTCCTTTGGAAAATTAGTACATGCTGACTAACTTGTTTTGAAGAAATCTCAAAAACACCTCATATCGTGTTGACGCTTTTGTGAATTATGGCTAAGAAAGGGCTAGTCACCTAACAGTATATTTCTCACATATAGAGTGTACCGTAACTCCCAAAACACCCGGAAATGGGGGGATGCTGGGGTGACTCTGAACAACTTTTTCCTTTACCAAAATGTTGATTCAAGCTTTGTTGCTTTGTTTTTGAATTATTACCGAAAAACACTGGCCAATCAGAGCGCGCGCTATATACAAATAAACTAATAAGTCGTTTAATAACTGTGTTCGATACTTTTATTCGTTATCCGAAAGGAATACTGAAAACTGACGGCGCAGTGAAGTCAGTTCACCGACCCGGTCGTAACATCAGCTGTTGAAGGTTGCCTTGAAAAGTCAGGATCGGCACAATGACCCACTTCCGTCGAAGCAGGTTAATTCGTGGACGAATGGGTAAGTTTTTCATAAGTAATAAAACACTTTATTCCTTTCGATTAACGAATAAAAGTATCGAACACAGTTATTAAACGACTTATTAGTTTATTTGTTATTCATGAATAACGAATAATTCCACCTTATTCTTAATTTAAGACGATGTAACATTTGCCACACGCTTCCCTTAATGCCCACGTTGTGCCAGTGCGTTTGTTCACGCCACGACCGAGCACGGTTGACAGCAAACGCTCTCATGGTTGAACGCGCGCTCTGATTGGCCAGTGTTTTTCGTTAATAATTCAAAAACAAAGCTTGAACCAACATTTTGGTAAAGGAAAAAGTTGTTCAGAGTCACCCCAGCAACCCCCCATTTCCGGGTGTTACGGGAGTTACGGGACACCCTGTATATATCACTTAAATAATAGCATGTTGCATACAAAAACAAATGATCGTCGTATATTTTTACGCCAATTAGGAGAACTTTGTATTTCAACTATTCAAAATCGAGCTTCAGATATCCAAATAATGCGACACTTTTCAACTAAATTAGCAATACAGTATACTATTTACATCACGCCGAATAAACAGTCCCTCTAGTAGTTCTGTACAATCGATGTTGTTCTCGTTAGATGCAAGTGGAAGAAAAAGATTTGTTGGATCATGTCACATGTGTCAGGCAGATCCTGCTAAAAACCGCAGGAAAATAAGAAAAAGCTGTCAGAAATATTTAATACCAGTTTGCAATGAACACGCAAGCACAATTATATTCAGTAAAAATTGTCCTACAGTAAATTAATCATTATAATTTAAATTTTTTATTTTACTAAATAAGTAGTATTAACAATTTTATATTCTGTGTAATTTCTTCCAAAAATTTCCATTCATAATTCGTCTAATTATAATTTCTCCTATGTGGGTACCCTGGTACCCCGGTTGTCCAAGAACGGAGAATATTTTGGTTGGCTACACAAGGGTTAAACCATGCTATTTCCTGACAAGAAAATTATTTCACATGATCAGGATCTTAAACATATGACGAAAAGTGTAAAATGTTGACTGGTTTCTCAGGTATTTTCTGTGTTGGACTAGCCTGTACAGAGTCCTAATCTTAACCCTACAGAAAATCTATGGGGAATACTCAAAAAAGGAATTCACATTACATACAAATCTTCACCAACCCCTCTGTATGAATTACAAACTCAAGTGGAAGAACCGTGGAACCAAATTCGACAAGACTACTGTACGAAACTAGTTGAAAGCGTGCCGAGACGCGTTGGGGCTGTTACAAAGTCAAGGAACTTATAGACAAAATATTCAATTAAACTGAAACTCGTAAATTTTAGTACTTAAAATCGTAGTGCAGAACTGATTCTACTAATTTTATTTATGACAACCCAAAAAGAACACATTTCAAATATTGAAAAATAGTTTGCATTTATGAAAGGAATGAGGAAGGAATTAGGACAATAAGGAAGAAATTAGCACCGTTGATTTTTATTTTCTTTCGCTTTATATAATAAGAAATAATACTTTTGTTGAAAATTTCTGTGATCGATTCAGTTTTTCTTCTTCCTGTATAATCAATTCAAATTGCAATTTCTTTTAATAAGGAAAAATACCTGAATGGTAATGATAATATTTAAAACATGTAATTGTTAAAACAGTTATATAATCAAAATGTAAAGATACAATTCACATACATAGAAAGAACATAAAACTCTTAATAATATCAATTATTAGACAAAGAACATTAAATAATATATAATTCCATAGCATTAACTAAAAAAGATATAACAAGAATAATAAATAAAATTATAAACTACTCGTGCATTTATTCAAAGTATAATATATAGATTACACATCTGTTTTAGAAAAGTGATTAGATGTGTTTGATACTGATTCTTATTCTTTATCTTTGGCAGATTGATTTTTACTATTTTTATCACTTAATTTTCTTTCTAAATTTCCTTCCTTTTTAAACCAAATTTTGGAATGTATACATGGAACTAAAACCTTGTACTTCAGAAAAAAAAATTTAAATAGAGTTTTCAACCATGTTCACAAGCATAGTTGCTTTGTTACAATGTGTAATGTTGAATTCACAGGGGTGTTGGTACCATGGTTCACCATCAATTTGTACTGCGCAAGACTTTATTAACTTTATCTGTAAGTTATAAAATATTTACTTAAAAAAATAAATACTAAGAATCTAATTAAATAAAAATATATTTTCACTGTACCTAATACTTATTTACATTTTTTTTATAATTTTCTCTAAAAGTTAATCTTAAATTATTTGATAAAATTTTAAAATACCTTTATGTTTCTAGCTTGTCCAAGTCGATAAGGTTGGGACAGTCCTACTTGAAGTTGAGCCATATGGAATGAAGAATAAAGTGCAACTACTTCTAACTTTCCATCGTTGATACTCTGTTCTCCATATTCTTCATGATCTACTTAATGTAAAACATTTATAAAACTTTTTTAATCTTTTAAAGTAAAAAGATTGAAATACCTTCTAATCCCATATTCCAAAGATTAACACCAGCAGCCCACGATGGAATGTTTAGTATCACGATACTTTCAATAGAAGGTAAATCTATTTTTTTGTCATCTAAATATAATTCTATATTTTTATCAAGATCTTTGCATTCTCGTTCCACCACTTGTTGGGTACCAAAACATAAGTATAATAGCTGTCAAAAGTATGAAAGCACACATTGTTTTATACTTTTTTTTAAATAAACCTCAAATAGAATAAATTACCTTATTAAACAATCTACTGCTATAAAAATAAAAACGACTCTCTCTAGTACGATGAAAATTTAGTGTTACTTGTGCATCAACTCCCACACTTAGGTAATTATACATATAGAACGTTTGATGCGAACTCCTAAGTCCCAATCCACCATACGGTTTTACTATCACAGTCCATCTGATAAGGTATTAACATAAATATAAATATATTTGATAACAATTTAATAGGCTATATGGGATATTTTCTATACACCTATCAAGTTTCACTTTTTGTGCTACTCGTATCTTCTGTAGAACATGTGTAAGATCTTCATTTGTATCATGTTCTTTTCCCCATCCTAGTACTCTTGATAAATCATTTCCTGTTCCCAAAGGAATTATAGCTACAGATGGAACTGGCTGTTACAAATAAAAATATTTAATCTAATCGTATTTGGCATTTTAGATGAATTAAATTTTTGTGTCTTCATTAACTTAAAACGTAATGGAATATATACAAACTAAATATAACAGACATATACATGTATTTGCATGTATTACCTCCAATCCAAGTTTATGAATAGCATTTAGTAACCAAGCTATTGTTCCATCTCCACCTGCTACAAGGATAGTACACGCTACTTTTCCAAGTAAACGACACCATTCAAGAGCAGCAACTGGATCGCGTTCTGATAAATCAACAACTTGAGCAGGATTTAACAATCTTCTAAACAAAGATAAAATTTCTGCTCCATCATTATTACCAGATTTTTTATTTCCTAAAATAGAAATTCTATAAGTTAAATTATAATTATTAAAAAATTATTTGAAGCATACACAATGTATAATACATTATTATGATACTATTATTACTTTTCATGTTAACTTACCAACAACTATAAGAGGATTCCACTGAGGCCAATTTGGAGGTATAACTGAACGAAGAGGAAATCTACGTCTTACAGTACTTCGTAGATTCATTACTTCTAAACTACTTGGTGGAATTATCATTAATTTAAATTTACCAAAATCACATATCTGAAAAATTTAATAAATAATGTTTATACATTGTAAGCAAATTATGAAAAATATATAAACATACTTTAGAAAGCTCAGATTTGCAAGTATCGTGGACACATCTCTGACACCAACAGCACCACCAATCTGTTAATCCAGGTTCCACGTCACATTCTTCATTACATATGTCACACGTAGCAATGAGAGGTAAATTACCTTACGTGAAATAAAATAAATAGAAATTAACTGTAATTCAGGCTGTATTTAAAACTTAATACTCAAGAAATAAAGTAAACAATTTAACTTTTGAATACTGTACATAGTATCCCATTTAAATCAACACAAAAATATCTTTGAAATTATTAATAATACTGAAAAATGTTTCAGATAAGAATATAATGGCTTCAAGGGGACATATCCTGATATCAACGAACTTTCTGCATGTGTATGTACAGAAGATATATGCAGATCGATATCAATTTTGCTCTTTTATATGGAATTATATATCTTTCAATGCATTAATCGATGCAATTCTTTATTCTCTATAAAAGAGCATTAAGTTATTTAGCGAGCATTAAATATTTTGTATTAAGTGTAGCAATTATGAATATTTAGTAATATGATATTTACCTTTTTAAAATTTATGTTCAAAACTATATCCTTGAGTCTGAATACTAAGATTTACTCAGCTTCTAAGTGATCTTTAAACTTTTAAAATACTTCTTGGAAATTTGTTAGCTTATGTCTTTTCAACGTAAGTAGCATAATACTCTTTAT